AAAAAAGAAATAGACCAGATAAATAAAGTAAATGCATTATTTTAGTTAAACATGATAGATTGAAAGTACATATTTACCTCCCAGTTTCTCCCTTTATAATTCAGTCAAATGTCAGTAAAGGAATTTTGTTTTTGAGGTATAAACTCACAGGTTTCTTTAAAAACAGATAAGACTGAGGCACCTGGGTGGCTCAGTCAGTTAAGTATCCGACTTGGGCTCCAGTCATAATCTCAGGGTCCTGGAATCAGAGCCCTCAGGGGAGCCTGCTGGAGATTTTCCCTCTCCCTCTAACCCTCCCCCCACTCGTGTGCATTCACTCATGTGCCCTCTATCTCTGTCTCTCTCTCAAATAAATAAATCTTTAAAAAAAAAAAAGAAGAAGAAGACAAGGGATGCCTGGGTAGCTCAGTTGGTTAAGCATGTGCCCTTGGCTTAAGTCATGATCTCAGTGTTTTGGGATTGAGTCCCAAATCAGACTCCTTGCTCAGTGGGAGCCTGCTTCTCCCTCTGCTCCCTCTGCCTGCCACTCCCCCTGCTTGTGCTCTCTCTCTCTCTCTGGCAAACAAGTAAATAAAATATTTTTTTAAAAATCTAAAAAAATTTTTTAAGAAACAGACAAAACTACTGCAAACAAGAATAACCAATAGAACTTTGGAAACTAGAAAGCAAACATACAAGTACTGATTTAAGAGAACTGAAAACACAAAAGTTTGTTTTTTAGTTGTTATTTCTTTGTTTTTTATCTAAGGTTGGGAGAAAGAAGGGCCAAGAAATAAGGAGTATACTTAGAATGAGCCCTAGTAATGGTGTATTATACACCTGAAACTAATATAACACAGTATGTTAATTATACTGGAATTTATTTTATTTTATTATTGAGAAAGAATGCACACATGAGAGCAGGCAGGTGGAGGGAAAGGGACAGGCAGATTCTGCCAAGCATGGAGACCGACAAGAGGCTCCATCCCACAACACGAGATTAAGACCTGAGCCAAAACCAAGGGTCAGATGCTTAACTGAATAAGCCACCTAGGCTTTGGAATTTATTTTTAAAAATTGAAAAAAATCATAAAAGAAAATACATTTACAGTACTGTACTGTTTTTTTTTAATTTATTTATTTGACAGAGAGAGAGAGATCACAAGTAGGCAGAGAGGCAGGCAGAGACAGAGAGGGAAGCAGGCTCCCCTCCGAGCAGAGAGACCGATGTAGGGCTCGATCTCAGGACCCTGAGATCATGACCTGAGCTGAAGGCAAAGGCTTAACCCAATGAGCCAACCAGGCGCCCCTGTACTGTATTTATTAAAAAAAAAAAAAAATCTGCAGGCACCTTGGTGACTCAGTCAGTTAGTCAGTTAAACATTGCATTCCTGGTTTTGTCTAACCCTTGGTTTCAGCTCAGGTCATCTGCTCAGCAGGGGGTCTGCCTAAGAGTCTTTCTGCTCCTTCCCACACTCGTAGGTGCTTGCACATACATGCTCTCTCTCAAATAAATGGATAAATCTTAAAAAAGAATAAATTCATGTATAAGGGGACCCATGCACTTTAAACCTTTATTGTTCAAGGGTCAACTATAATTAAATATCTTTAGAGAAATAACATTATTGTATCTATGAAACAACAGGATGCCTTTTTTAAATAATAGAGTAGTAAAAATGGAAATTTCAGAATATAATTTAGAACATGAAGGAAATCCCTTCGAACATAAAATACAGAAAAAGGAGTGGAAAACAGGAGTAAGAGATAAAAAAGAGGATTAATCTAGAACATCCAGCTTCTAGAGGAACAGAAATTCCAGTAAGCAAAAAGAGGGGGCAAGTAATTGATAAGGTGGGAGAAAATTAGTGGCCATATAGTAGATTTGAATAATATCATTCATTTATAGAAACCCTAAAACTATAGAGTACACACTTTAAGATACTACTTTCAGGTGTACATGGAACTTTCTTCAAGATAGATCATATTTCAGACCAGAAGTTCTCCAAATTTGAAAGGTTTGAAATCATATAGAGTATGTTCTCTGCCACAAATTGTATTAGAATCAAATTATATTGGAAATGAATAACAAAAAGATATTGGGAAAGTCCCTAGATAGTTGGAAATTTGACAACACTTTTCTAAATAACCCAGGATCAAAAAGGAAATCACCGGGGAAACTAGAAAATGTTTGGACCTGAATGATCATGAAAACATATCAAAGCTTGTGGAATGCAGCTAAAATAGGCTATGAGGGAAATTCATACATTTAAATGCTTATATTTGAAAGGAAAAAAGATCTAAAATGGGCTAGCAAACCTGTTCACAAAGGGCCAGGTAGTAAATATTTTAGGCTTTGCAGGCCACGCAGCCTCTCTGTTGCATGTGTAATTCTGCCTTGCGGCCTGAAATCAGGCATAGACAGTGCATAAATGAGTAAGTGTGGTTATGATTCCAATAAAACTTTATTCAGATCACATAACATATAATTTCACGTAACATAAAATGTTACTCTCCTTTTCATTTTTTCTACCATTAAAAATGTAAAAACTATTTATAGCTTGTTAATAATAACTTTAAAGCATCTCATGGTATAATGTTACTGACTTTGTGATAAAACATCAGAAGCATAAACCATAAAGGAGAAGCTCAATATATTTGACTTCACTAAAATGTGGAATTAACCAAAAATACTTAAGAGGATAAATAAGCCACAAAAACAAAATTAAAAAGTTGTTTTAGGGGTGCCTGGCTCAGTCAGTAGAGCATCTAACTCTTGATCTTCCGGTCATGAGTTTGAGCCCCATGTTGGTTATGGAGATTACTTAAAAAAAAAAAAAAAAAAAAGTTTTATACCAGATTGAATTTCAGATGGATCAAAGATTTAAAGATAAAAAAATCAAACTATACTGGGCGCCTGGGTGACTCAGTTGTTAAGCGTCTGCCTTTGGCTCAGGTCATGATCCCAGGGTCCTGGGATGGAGCCCCGCATCAGGCTCCCTGCTAAGTGGGAGTCTGCCTCTCCCTCTCCCACTCCCTTACTCCCTCTGCTTGTGTTCTTCTCTTGCTGTCTCTCTCTCTGTCAAGTAAATAAATAAAATCTTAAAAAAAAATCAAACTATGAAAGTACTAAAAGAAACCATAAGAAAAAACTATTAACGAAGTAATAGAATAAGGAAAGCCTTTTGAAATAGGACAAAAAACTCTAAAGCTATAAAATAAAAGACTGATAAATGTAACAACATAAAAGTCAATAATTTCAGGGCACCTGGCTGGCTCAGTCAGTACAGCATATAACTCTTGACTTCAGGGTTATGAGTTTGATCCCCACGTTGGGTATAGAGAGTACTTAAATAAACCTTCTTTAAAAAGGTAAATAGGGGTGCTTGGTTGGCTCAGTCAGTTAAGCATCTGCCTTCAGCTCAAAGGTCATGATCGGAGGAGCTGGGATTGAGCCTGCTTTGGGCTTTGTGCTCAGCAGGGAACCTGCTTCTCCCTTCTCCCTGCTCGTGCTCTCTGTCACTATATCTGTCGCTCTCAAATAAATCTTTTTTTTTTTTTTTTAAGGCAAATAATCTCTACAGAGCATTAACCACCATTAGCACATGACAAACCGGGGGAAATACCTGATTTGTACAACAGACAATAGGCTTATTTTAGTATATTAAGAGTTACAAGTAAGTAAAAGACTACATATTTCAGTAGAAAAATGAGCAAAGGATTTGAACAGACAACTCAGGAAGGAAATACATCTCATAATGTCTTAAAATGATATGATGTACAGACTCATGATAAGAAACATTAAATTAAAACTACATAAAACACTCTTTTTCTCCTATCATGTTGCCAAAGATCAATAAGTTCGAGAACACCGTGTTGCCAAAGGAAAAGGACAGCTGGTGTTCTCAAGCACTACTAATGGGTGTATAAATTAGTATATCTTCTTTGATGGCAATTTGGCAGTATTTAACAAGATCCAAATACAAGTGCTCTATGATTAACAGTTTTACTTACAGGAATTTACCTTACCGAAATACTCATATAAGTAAGATAAAACATTTGTACAAGATCATCCATTTAGCGTTATTTGTAATAGCAGAATAGTGACGCAACCTAAATGTCCATCACCAGGGGTCTGATTAAATAAATTATGGTACGCTTTGAAATCATTCAAATGCAGCCATTGAAATGAAGTAGTTCAATGTGTCCTGATATGGAATGATCCAAAATATATGTTTAGATGAAAAAAGTACAGAACATCGTATATTGCTGCCATTTGAGAAGAATGTATATTTGTTTATATTTTATATATAAATGTATATTTGTTTATAAATGTATAAAATCTCTCTTGAGAATTATGTGGATCCATGGATGTTTCTGGGTAGAGGAACTAGAAGGCTGAAGAACAGTGACAGGAGGGGCACTTCATTTATATTGCAATTTGTTTGCTAGCTTTTGAATTTAGAAGTATGACTATATTATCCATCCAAAACCATTTTTAAATAATATGAACAAGACAGAGAGTTCACTGTGATATCATTTGAGTGCAATGCTCAAAATATCCTAAATATCCATCAGTAGGAGAACTTGAAAATTGTGGTCAAATCATACATACGTGAGCACATATATGCTCAGTCGTACGTGAGCACAGTTAAAATAAGTTAAGCTTTTCATGTCAGCATAGATACATCTCAGATTTGTAATGTTAATGAGAAAGGTAAGTTACACATCAGCATGATGCTATCAATAGAAAGTTTGAGAAATAGCAAATAGCACTTTTTAACTGTGATGTTTTATTCTTTAAAAGAGAAATCTGATGTCAGTATGACACTCAATCTTATAAATCTATGGAGCTGACTAGGCAGTTCCCATAGTGAAATTTTGGCCCAATCCTGTGTGTCTCATGGGGACCCAGAGCACCACCTAAACCCTCCTACAGGAGCAGAATCCTCCTCAAATGAAAAACACTAGTCCGTGGCCAGCAGGGTTGCTCTTTTCTGTATCTGAATCTTCTTGTTTTCCAGGGATGTTGGTGGTGAATGTAACATGGAGGAACAAGACTTATGTAGGTACACTTCTTGACTGCACGCGGCATGATTGGGCACCCCCCAGGTAAGCATTTTACAGCTTTTTGGCGCATATTAGTCTTAGCCACCCTAATCCCTTATCCCTTATGCCTTCATCCTGTTAGAGCTGGATCGCTTTTAGACACCCAGCTTTTACAGAATACGATAGTGTCGGGTTGAGGGAAGGCACTCTCCTGCTCTGGCATTCAAGAAGAATAAATGAATTACATGTTGATGGGTGGGATAGGCATTGGGGAGGAGATCCTGTTTAAGCCTTTGTCTGGAATTACCTTGAGACCAAGTCCACCAAGTCTGCCTGTAGGTAAACAAACAATCATTGATCCTGCTTTTTGATGGTAGCCATCTCCAAGGAGTTTAAACTCAAGAACATTTTCATTTTTATGAACATTAGACAATGTGGGTTTCACAAGGACCCTTTCTGGTTGGCATTTCAGTAAATGGCACTTTACAGCTTGTTTGTACCCAGTTTGCCAGGATTTGGGGAACCCAGATGTTGGGGAATGATACACAGCTAACAAGCAGATAGCATCCTAGGAGCTCACCACTTAATGCAGTTCCCACGCTTTCAAAAGTTCCTTTAACAAATCATATTCATTGAAAATGATAGTTACCATCTGGACAGTTCTTCTGGAGGCAGCTGAACTGGTTTTAAGTTATTTTCTCTTCTTAATAATATCCTGTTGTGTTTGCCCTTTTGCCAAGGTTCTGCGACTCCCCCACCAGTGACTTGGAAATGCGCAATGGCCGGGGTAGAGGCAAACGCATGCGTCCCAACAGTAACACACCTGTCAATGAGACAGCCACGGCCTCTGACAGCAAAGGGACCAGCAGTAGCAGCAAAACCCGAGCAGGAGCCAATAGCAAAGGCCGTCGGGGCAGCCAAAATTCTTCAGAGCATCGCCCATCTGCCAGTAGCACCTCTGAAGATGTCAAGGCCAGCCCTTCCTCAGCTAATAAGCGGAAAAACAAACCGCTTTCAGACATGGAGCTGAATTCTAGCTCAGAGGACTCCAAAGGGAGCAAGCGCGTCCGTACGAATTCCATGGGCTCAGCCACTGGTCCCCTCCCTGGGACCAAGGTGGAACCCACTGTTCTAGACAGAAATTGTCCTTCCCCAGTCCTGATTGACTGCCCCCACCCAAACTGCAACAAAAAATATAAGCACATCAATGGACTTAAGTACCACCAAGCCCATGCCCACACAGATGATGACAGTAAGCCGGAAGCAGATGGAGACAGTGAGTACGGAGAGGAGCCCACCCTACATGCAGACCTTGGGAGCTGCAATGGTGCATCCGTCTCACAAAAAGGTTCCTTGTCCCCTGCCCGCTCAGCTACCCCCAAAGTTCGGCTCGTAGAGCCCCATAGCCCTTCTCCTTCAAGCAAATTCAGCACAAAAGGCCTCTGTAAGAAAAAGCTGAGTGGGGAAGGGGACACAGACCTCGGGGCCTTATCGAATGATGGCTCTGATGATGGACCCTCAGTAATGGATGAAACAAGCAATGATGCCTTTGATTCTTTGGAAAGGAAGTGTATGGAAAAAGAAAAATGTAAAAAACCCTCTAGTTTGAAGCCTGAAAAGATTCCTTCCAAAAGCTTAAAGTCAGCGAGGCCTATTGCCCCTGCCATCCCCCCACAGCAAATCTACACCTTCCAGACCGCCACCTTCACAGCAGCAAGCCCAGGCTCCTCCTCAGGCTTGACCACCACAGTGGTCCAAGCCATGCCCAACAGCCCCCAACTCAAACCTATTCAGCCCAAGCCCACTGTGATGGGAGAACCTTTCACAGTCAACCCTGCCTTGACTCCAGCCAAGGACAAGAAAAAGAAAGACAAAAAAAAGAAGGAGTCTTCAAAGGAACTTGAAAGTCCTCTGACCCCTGGGAAAGTGTGTCGAGCAGAAGAAGGCAAAAGCCCATTCAGGGAATCATCGGGAGATGGGATGAAGATGGAGGGGCTCCTGAATGGCTCCTCAGACCCCCACCAAAGCCGACTGGCTAGCATCAAGGCAGAAGCTGACAAGATCTACAGCTTCACAGACAATGCCCCCAGCCCTTCAATCGGAGGCAGTAGCCGCATAGATAGCACCACCCCTACCCAGCCCCTGACTCCCTTACATGTGGTGACCCAGAATGGAGCTGAAGCCAACTCAGTCAAAACCAACAGCCCTGCATACTCTGACATATCTGATGCTGGGGAGGATGGGGAGGGCAAAGTGGACAGTGTCAAATCAAAGGACCCTGAGCAGTTGGTTAAGGAGGGGGCTAAGAAGTCACTTTTCCCCCCTCAGCCGCAGAGCAAAGACTCACCGTATTACCAAGGCTTTGAGAGTTACTACTCTCCAAGTTATGCACAGTCCAGCCCCGGGGCGCTGAACCCCAACAGCCAGGCAGGAGTGGAGAGCCAGGCTCTGAAGACTAAAAAGGATGAAGAGCCTGAGAGCATAGAGGGGAAAGTGAAGAACGATACCTGTGAGGAAAAGAAACCAGAACTGAGTGGTTCCAGCCAGCAGCCTTCGGTCATCCAGCAGCGTCCCAACATGTACATGCAGTCCCTGTACTACAACCAGTACGCCTATGTGCCCCCGTATGGCTACAGCGACCAGAGTTACCACACCCACCTCCTGAGCACCAACACGGCCTACCGACAGCAGTACGAGGAGCAGCAGAAGCGGCAAAGCCTGGAGCAGCAGCAGCGGGGGCTCGACAAGAAGGCCGAGTTAGGCCTGAAGGAGCGCGAGGCCGCACTCAAGGAAGAATGGAAGCAAAAGCCATCGCTTCCACCGACTCTCACCAAGGCCCCCAGCCTGACGGACCTGGTCAAGTCGGGACCTGGGAAGGCCAAGGAGCCAGGGGCTGACCCTGCCAAGTCAGTCATCATTCCCAAGTTAGATGACTCCTCCAAACTCCCCAGCCAGGCCCCAGAAGGACTTAAAGTGAAGCTGAGTGAGGCCAGCCACCTAGGCAAGGAGGCCTCTGAGGCTAAGACAGGTGCTGAGTGTGGCCGGCAGGCAGAGGTGGATCCCATACTCTGGTACAGACAGGTAACTGTCCTGGGAGGAAACAGAGTATTTGATAGGCTTTCTCTCTTCCTCACAAATCAGGGCTCTCCTTAGGTGGGGGGGGTCAGCAGAATAGAGATTGGCAGGAGAAATCTGTAATTTAAAGGATTCTTTACTTTTGTAAATCATGTTCGTGTTTTTAAAAAGCATTTTAAGAAGTAAAAGGTGTTTTTCCCATTTGACAGGAGATGCCCAGGTAAGTTAGCTTGATCTGTCTGGGTCCCTTGCAACTTTACTAGCAGAGCCAGGACTAGAACCCAGGTTATCTCAATTCCTAGTCCACGGTTTCTTCCCGTTTGGGTCCTATGGAGTAAGTTCATGGTGATCTCTCCATTTGCTAGAGGGAGTTACCATTCAGCCTGAGTTACTCCCTGAAAGATTTTATAGTGGGGACCCTGGCTGGTTCAGTCAGTGGAGCATGCAACTCCTGATCTCAGGGTTGTAAGTTCGAGCCCCACGTTGGATGTAGAGATTACATAAAAATAAAATCTTTTAAAAAATGGTTTTTTAATAGGTAGAGTTAGAACTAAGAACTTGTTCTTACATCATGTTCTACTCATGAGACTTAGAAAGTCTTCCCATGCTTCTTGGTATCACCACTAGACCTCCCTCCTCTGAGCTGGGCAGCACTCATGACTCTCTGCCCCTAAGCTTGCTCTTAAGAAGTGAAACCACCTAAAATTCCTTGGAAAGGGAGCAGCTTCTTTTATTCAAAGACTTCTTTCCCCAGAATGCATTTTCTCCTAAAGAAGACCCACTGGTGGATTTTCCTTTTCCTTCCCCACATCTTGTTTCCTCCTGGGCAGGGAGTGAGCAGGCTTTTTAAAAAGGAGGGACCAGAGTTCATTCTAAATGAAGATCAACAGAGGCCAGGATTTTACCCTGCACTGGTGTCTAGTATTAACCTGCACTGGTGTTTCTCCTGCGACCTTGAGCTTGAAATCTCGCTCTCATCTGTACAACACTCAGTGCTCGTTCTGTGATTTTTAGGAAACAGAGCCCCGGATGTGGACGTATGTCTATCCTGCCAAGTACTCGGACATTAAGTCAGAGGATGAGCGGTGGAAAGAGGAGCGGGACCGCAAATTGAAGGAAGAAAGGAGTCGGAGTAAGGACTCTGTCTCCAAGGAGGATGGGAAGGAAAGCACAAGTAGTGACTGCAAGCTATCCACATCAGAGGAATCCCGCCTGGGGAGCAAGGAGCCCCGACCGAGTGTCCATGTGCCTGTGTCCTCCCCGCTCACCCAGCACCAGTCCTACATCCCTTACATGCACGGCTACTCCTACAGCCAGTCCTATGACCCCAACCACCCCAGCTACCGGGGCATGCCTGCTGTGATGATGCAGAACTACCCAGGTATAGCCCCCACCTTCCCACTTGGCGCTCCACTAACTGGGAAGGGAAATGAAACAGATTTCAGAGCCAGAGTTTTCTTGCATTCTTGCAGACCCCTAAGGCTGACTGTGCCTGGGACAGATGACTGCCCTGTTTTGAATCTGACATTCTGTGAGCTGGTCAGTCTAGCCCCAAGCTCCTTGAATAACCCCTGACCACAATCTGAGGGACCATGTCTCCCTCCCTTGCTCCAGCTAAAGTTTTGCCTCTGTAGTCAGTTTTCCTGGATAACTAAAGGCAGAACTCCCTACCACTGCCATCTTCCCTCAGCTGGGATTTTTTTTAAACACATGCTTTACACTTTTGCAATGGGTGAGGTATCTTGGGGAATACAAAAGAAACAGAGAAGACTAGTTCCCTCTTAAGGAGCTTACAACTTAATTGTATCAGGAGAGACACATGGAACAAATAAAATTCAAACCAGGACAATGCATGTATTCATTTAGAGGATCATGTTCAGCTGGAAGGTTGGAAGACAGTGGGAGAGGGGAAGATCTGTTTGAAATCAAGAGTGGGGGGAAGTCCAGTAGAAAACATTCAGCTTGGGAAAGATAAGCTCTTGACACTGCCATTCCTGAATTCTTGGGGAGGGACACAAAGTAGGGACACAAGTGGTTTTTAACTCGTTACAGGACAGTGCTCCTGTTCAACTGTACTCATTGCTTTCTGTTGTCCGAAGCATCATGTGGGATGCTTCTGGGGGCAGAAGAGCATTCTTTTCACTCTCCAGAGCTCCCCCCTCCTTATGAGAGAACAGCCTAGTCTTGATATCCTGGTCGAACACTGTAAGGCAGGCTCTAAATAGCACAAGTAAACTTTTCAAACAGAGATAGGAAATTGTCTCAGCCTGTGGTGTTCCTTCCTCTCTGTTATTCCATCCATCCACATAAAAATAACACCTTGGCAAGTGCCTGCTGTGGGTCAGACACTACTCAGTGACTTGTGTACACGATCTCATTTAATCTTCCCTATGGAATAGCATTAGTATCTTCCTGCTGATGGGAAAGAAACTGAAGCTCAGAAGCGTTGTTACTTTAGTTAAGGCTAACCAGCTGGTAAGTCTCTCGAGGTAGATTTGATCCCAAGGTCATCTGCTCCAAATCCTCTGACCTTTCCACTTCACCATAATTTAGCCTCTCCAAGGTGAAACTCTGAGGCTGAGGCTCTAGAGTGGTCGATTCCCCAGAAGCTGAGGCCCATGTTCGTAATATCCCTTAGCTAGTGTGCCTCTACAGCTCAGTAAAGAAAGGACACACTAATAGGTTCAGCCTGAAGACACTGTGGTTGGAACCACCTCCGCCTGTGCCTAGGAAAGCTGATGCCCTCCTAACCGCAGTCACTAAAACGAGTTTCATCTGCTTCTCAAATCTCTGACCATTTTACTTCTCCTTCCCCAGGTTCCTACCTACCTTCCAGCTACTCTTTCTCCCCATACGGCAGCAAGGTCTCAGGGGGTGAAGATGCCGACAAGGCGCGAGCCAGCCCCAGTGTCAGTTGTAAATCCAGCTCGGAGTCCAAAGCTCTGGACATCTTGCAGCAGCATGCCAGTCACTACAAGAGCAAGTCTCCCACGGTAAGCGGCGCCGGCTGCTAACAAAACCCAGATCCAGGGTCTGGAAGAAGGTGGGCAAGCAAGTTCAGGTCTTAACTACAGTGCAGCCTAGCTGACTTGGCATTGGCTTTACCAGGCATCTCCACAATTCTCAGGTGTCCTGTGTTTGTAAGGAGTCCTAATGTGGACTTGGAGCATCTTGTGTGTGTGTGTGTGTGTGTGTGTCTCACAGTAGTGCTTTTGTGTCTGCTTTTTTTCCAGATAACTGATAAAACGTCTCAGGAGAGAGATCGGGGAGGTTGTGGGGTGGTTGGGGGGGGTGGCAGCTGTAGCAGCGTCGGAGCAGCAGGTGGGGCTGAAAGGAGTGTGGACCGGCCCCGCACCTCCCCTTCTCAGCGCCTGATGTCCACACACCACCACCACCACCATCTGGGCTACTCGTTGCTCCCAGCACAGTACAACTTACCCTACGCAGCAGGTAATCTCCTTCCACTAACTCTTTCTGAGTTCGTTCCAGTAGCCTAGTAGTATTGCCCACATCAAGGGACCCCCAGCAAGAATCCTTTTCAATTTTTTCTTGTTGAGCTTCTAATCTGTCCAGATCTTAGCCCCCTGCAGGTAGTCATTAAAGCATAGGACATTTATTTCCTCTCCCGGAGCTTAGGGACTCTCAAACTCCTCTAGAAAATTGGCTTTGATATTCAGAAGAATAAGGACCAGCTATTCCATAGCCAAAGAGAAACAAGCAGCTGAAAAATAGAGCCTTGCTATATATACTGTCCGCAGCCACTATATCTGGCCAAGTACCAGATTTTTTTCTTCTGTCAGCACCCCAAAACTCAGGGAAGCCAGGAATTTAAGGAGAAACTCCTGTTATCCACACCAAGCTGAGAAAGAAAAAGTGTTTAATCGGAGGGTTCTGGGAGTGTTACACTAAACATGTCCTCCTTCTCACTCAGGGCTTTCTTCTACAGCCATTGTTGCCAGCCAGCAAGGCTCAACTCCCTCACTCTACCCACCCCCTCGGAGGTGAGAACGGTAAGTCACTTTTTAATTTGGGACAACACGTAGAGCAGGAAGAGTTGATACCCGGATCACGGAACCCTTATGGAGACTAGGTGTGGGGGTCAGTGGTCTGGAAATGGTGGAACCTTGGCCAAGCCTCTTGTAGGGGTCTCCCAGTCTCTGGTTAAGCCGAGTACATCCAACAAGAGCTGCCCAACACCAGTGTCCCCAAAGGGCCAGGACTGGCCTCCCCTGCAGTTCGTTTTGTCGGAGCGCCACCTGGTGGTTATTATACCAGCAGGCTGAGTGCCTGGTTACCTGTCCATGTTTCCCTTACAGAACACCAAGTGCCCGGATAAAGTCAGCTTCACGGGCCCGGACTGGCTCACCCAAGGAGGTGCCGGAGGTGCCATTCAGACATCAGTTAAATGGTGTTGATCATCCTGTTTGCCGTTCCTACCATGACCGAAGGCAGACCCTTGGCTATCTCACCTCCACCAGATCCCCGGACTCCCCGACCCTCCCTCTTCCTCAGGAGCTGGAGAGCTGGTACTTAGCAAAAATATTTATTCTCTCGGCCACGGTCGTGACTATTGTGGCCCATGTGGAGATGAAGGCACGGGTAGGAACCAGGGGAACATGGCCTCAGCCCAGAGAAGTCACTGCTCTGTTCCCCTAAGACCCTGGTCAGCTGCTGGAGCAGTGCCAACACCCTCACTCTCACCCCCAGGGAGGGACTCCCGAGCACTGGGTAAGGTCTGAAGACAGCACAGCGGCCATACCCCTCTCACCGTCATTACCACAATCACCAGATTCCTGCATCTCCCCAGCAGTTTGGGCCCTGGGAACTGGCAGCATGTGGAGGAATTAGAATCTCAGGAAAGAAATTGGGGGCTGTTTTCTCTGTACTTGTGAAAACAAGGTCTTCAAACACGAAGACTTCTGCCCTCTCACGTGAGCACATATAAATGCTCAGAGCCTAGCCTGGAAAGGAAGACCAAGGCGTTTGCCCCACCGTGGCCTTGGGCTGCCCGTCAGGCAGAGGGCCGGGGTCCCAACACCAGCACAGGGCTCCCCAGGCATACTGGGAGTAAGCTGGAGCTGGAGCATGAATGGAGTCTGTGAAACAGAACCTGCATCCCCACGAAGTCCTGCTGCTTCCTAGCCCCCAGCTCCTTGCCCTTGTCTCTCTTTCCTCCTGACCCCTTGGTGCCTTTCCCAGGGGGGTCCCCATGCTGATCGCTCCTTTTCTTTTCCAATGCTTGGCTCTTAAGACTCAGGCAGGTAAAATAGTATTCCCCCCAGCATGGGGAGCTTTGGAGTCTGCCAGGTCAGCTTAGGGCAAGGCCCAGGAGGCAGGCCCTGGGGGCGCCCAGCGGTTCTTAGCGATGTCCTGTCCATTCAGCCACCTGAGTATCCTCATTTAGGGCCCCAAATACATACAGCCCGATTGCTCTGTATACAAGTACCCGACTTTGATATAGCTCCGTCTATAACCCCACGTGTGCCCATGTAAGCTGTTCCTTCATAACACATGTTTTTGTTTTAGGGGCCACTGGCCGTGGGAGGGTAGGTGTTCCTTACACCCTGGGGTAACACATCCAAGCCATTACTCCTCAGAACCACAGAGTGTTCCGAGTGGAGCTGTGCTGTGAGGCAGCAGACATTTCTCTGCTCCCCTCGGAAGTGCAGTCTTCCAGTCCGGCTTTATGCTCTCTGCCCTGGGAAAGGGACGAGGATGTGGCAGCTGTAGTGGAGTCACTTCTTCCCCAGCCTAGGGGAAGCTTTAGCTCCTATTTTGCTTTTGAGGTATCATCCCTTTGTTCCCCCTGGCTATCTTGCCTTGACCTTCTGGATTGAGAAAGACTGACACACACCAGCCTAGGCTTGAGAGGGGTATTTGTGACCAGAGTGCCAAAGCGACCCTTTAAGAGCAAGGACTTGGCTCTGACTCCATTTGGGGCAGGGAGGTAGAGGACAGTAAGCACAATGCCCGGCAGAGGCTGCTTGCCAAGAACCCCAGAGCCCTACTCTGAATGGCCTGGGGTCATTTGCTTAAGAGGAGCCCCTCTGACCTATAGACATTTCCTCTGGGTTTTCATGTCATTGTTTTTATTCAGGTTGGGTTCTGAGCCCTCTCCCAAAACCCACTGCTTTAGACCACTTAGCAGGCCCCTAAGCAGCCTCCCTCGCCCCCATCATTCCCTCTGCCTCCTGCTCACCCGGAGGGCAGTGCTCCGGGCACTGGGGCACTGACTTCCCTTTTATCCATGGAAGTAGTTTCTTTGGACGCCTTCACCCCACCTAACCTGAGTCACCTCCACCAGGAGGATGACTCTGAATTTCAGCCTGATGCTGTCCTGCCAGGCTCCTGTGGGGTGGAGCCAAGTGCCCATCTCTGTTCCTGTTTGTTCTTAAATATTGTGTGTTTTGTATCTGTGGCGCTGGCTTACAGCGTGCTCTGTACATATTGTAAAGAAACTGTTGGGATTAATTTTCTTTCCCGTTGGGCAGGCCTGGTCCCACATTCCTGCCCTTTCCACTTTGTTCTATAACAGAGAAGAGGAACTTCTGTATTAGCAGGGCAGTCTTGGGTTCTGCAGAAGGGGACAGCTTTTTCTTTTCCTTAGAAAACACTTTGGCTCTCTGATCCTTGTATCAAGCCTCCGGAGAAGAGTAGGAGCTGAGCTGCCCAGAAGAGCCGGAGGGAGCAACAATGGCAGAATAGCACTGCCTTTTCCCCAGGCCCCTTTCCGCACCAGGTCCAGGCTTCCCTCCCTGAAACAACCCGAAGCAGCAGCAGAGGAAACAGACCCTTGACCAGTGCTGGGGAGGGACCTGCTGTCTACCTCCAGCCGCTCTGTATGGGGAGGCGGCCCGAGGGTGGGGGTACCTGTGACCTGTTCAGAGATGAGACCCTCAGCAAGGATCCCCTGACCCCGCCCCATGAGCAAAGGCTGGCAAAGTGTGCTGTTAAGGGCCATGACACCCAGACCAAGGCTCACTGTGAGCCACCCCTGCCCAGGCCTTTTCCGAGACCTCGTTTGTCAGGGCTCCACCTGAGAAGCTAGAAAGCAGGAGCCTCACCCCCAGCTGGGACAGTCACGGCTTGGAGAGCTGCTCTTCAGGGCTCACATCTCCTTCCTCATTTAAGGTGTGCGGTTTCCTTCATCTCCCTTCCCTGCCTGTACATGTATGTATACATGTAGGAAGCTCCCTTCTCTTACCTCATCCCTTCCACACGTCTCCAGGTCAAAAGACCACATGCGGAAGGGTTAAGAGGGCACCCCATGAAATGATGGTGATTCTTGAATCTTCTCTCCAGGCTCCAAGGCGAGGGTGAGAGGATGTGGCTTGGGGGTTGGGAGGGTAAGACTGTAGAAGGGCTAGAGTTACTGTACGCGGGCTTCGAGGTCACCCATGTCGCTTATTATATTGTGTACTCTGTCACCATCCCAGTGTCTACTCTCCTGCCCCTGTGATTCAACTGGGCAGCTAGTTGGCCCCATAATTCTGGGCCTTTGTCATTTGTTTTACTACTAGGGCATCCCAGGAAGCTTTCCGATGATCCTCTGCCATGGGCCCCTCCTGGGATCAAGCCCCTCCCAGGCCCCGCCCCAGCCCCTCTTGCCCCAGCCCACCCGCTTGCCTTGGTGCTCAGCCCCCCCAATTGGGAGCAGGTTGGGGCGAGCTGGAGGCCCGGGCTGGAGGGGCAGTGTTGCTGTTCATAGCTTTTGTTCCATTGGCGTTGCTCTGTTGGATTTAATTTCAGTCTTCCTGATTCTTCCCTTCTGTAAAGTGTACATTACCAAGTTCCTTGTTTTTTATATATATATATATATAAATATATATATATACAAACTGTACTCTTTTTGCCTTTGTACATTCAGGCAAGAAGAGAAAATAAATCTTTTTAAGAGACAATCACAAATCTGTGAGGGCTGCTGGTTATTTCTCCTGGAGTTTGCTGCTGAGCTGCTTCCTCCTTCCTCCCCACTCTTCTGTTTTCCCTCAGCTTTCCTGATCTTCCTGGTTCTGCTCCATATGCATCCTCAGCTCCACCTTCCCTGGCTGATGGCAAAGTGTTGAATCCAGTGCCCAGACTACCTGCCCTGCAGCCCTCTCTTGCCCAGCAGTGTTTTCCGGCTCGGCCACTGGCTTAGCCAGGGGCTTTGCTCCTCTGCCCTGGTCTCTCCTGTCTTCCCCCTTCGATCCCATTCACCAAAGTGGCTTCGGACCCCTCGGTACCCTGGGCCCTGGCTCCCGAAGGCCCGGTCTTTGGACACTCACTTGTGAAACTATGCAGCTAGGAGCTCTCCGCTTAAGAGTTTGCACTACTTAAACCTGCCTGGGGGTAAGAACAGGTGGTTTTTAGAAGCAAGCAAGCAGCTGCCCCCTAACATTCCCCCTGCCGATTCCAGCCTCCAGCGTGCTCTGATCCAGAGCCCAGAGAATCATTCCTGGCTGGTAGACTCCCGTGGCTACCCTGTCAGAACAAGGGCTAAGGGTTTAGGAGTCCAGAGCATTTGATCAGAATTTTAAAGGGTAGCACATTCTGACACACAGCCCAACCAAACCATGGTTCTGTCTCTTTAACTTTCTCTTTTTCCTCTGATCTTTTCCCCCTTTTTTCCCCTTTCTCTACTTCCTTTTCTTAATTGGCTTTGGAATTGAAGTATATTTTTAAATTATTTGTTGTATTTATTAAATAAAGTTTTTAATGTCCCTGTTCTTAAATTTAGACTTAGTTGCCTTTCACATACCCTCCTTATCCATCAACCCCTCAAAATATACCAAGTTACCTTTTTAATTGGAGTGCAACTTTTGGGTACCAGATTTCTTCCTGCTGGTGGTCTTACCTGGCAAAATTTCTTTTTTCCAAAGGGAAATCTTTTTTTTTTTAAGATTTTATTTATCCATTTGACAGAGATCACAAGTAGGGAGAGAGGCGGGCAAAGCAGGCTCCCCGCTGAGCAGAGAGAGTGACGCGGGGCTCGATCCCAGGACCCTGAGATCATGACCCGAGCTGAAGGCAGAAGCTTAACCCACTGAGCCACCCAGGCGCCCCTCCAAAGGGAAATTTTTTTTTTTTTGGACAGAGATAGAGACTGCCAGAGAGGTAACACAAGCACAGGGAATGGGAGAGGGAGAAACAGGCTTCCCGCTTAGCAGGGAGCCCTATGTGGGGCTGGAGCCCTATGTGGGGCTCGATCCCAGGACGCTGGGATCATGACCCGAGCGGAAGGCAGACGCTTAACGACTGAGCCAAAGGGAAATCTTAACGGAGCACCTGGTTTTCCAATTCTGCCCTTCTACCTCTAGTTGTATTGAAGGGAATCTACCAGCAGATGGCAGCAGAAACTCAGGCATGTTTCCTGTCCCCTCTGCTTATTTGAATGAAGGACTAATAAAGGGCTGCCTTTTGTCTTGGTTCTTTATCCCAGTCTTGTAGATTCTCTGGGCTTGATTTTACCATGATCCTATACGGTCTACATTAACTTGGCCATTGTCCACGTTCACATGGACCTCTACTGTAGGTGTCTCACAGTAGTAACCGTTTTCCAGTCCCTGCCTTTATGCTGCCCGTAGGGATTATCTCCTCAGAAAAGGGTATCTTTGAGTCCTTCCTGTTCCAGCTGAATGTCTAGGTCCAGACCTTCTGATATTGTGGAAGGTGGAGGTATTACACTCACTTTTAGTAACATAGCCCAGTGTGAAAACACAAGTAAGCTCCACACAGGATACTGTGAAAATGGACTAAAGACTCAGAAAAACTAAGGACAGCCACAGCTCAACCGTGGATCATTCCAAAGCTGTAGAAGAAGAACCTACCCAGCACTTGGGAAAACAGAAGCAAAAGGGAAAAAATGCCACCGTAAGCACCTAAGAAACTAAAAAGAATTTAAGGGGCATCTGGCTAACCCAAGCATGACCCAACATGCAGTTCTTGATCTCAGGGTTTTGAGTTCAAACCCCATGCTGGGTGTGGAGCCTAGTCTAAAAAAAAAAATAATCCTAGCTCCCTACAGGGCCACTGGAAGCTTATCAGTCAGCCTGGTGGTACAAGGGGAATGGCAGCCACACTGTCCTAGGGAAGGTGTGTGCTGTTTCCTTCAAACCCCTCCAGGAATAAGAGTGTCAGGCAGCTCCGTTTCAGGACCCAGCCTCTGCACTAAAGGAAACACTGCGAACAGCTTGGATCCTGGGGACAGCCTCTATTTTGGACGAAGCTGATGTGTACACACCGCTCTAGGGGTTACTGGCAGTTTGTCCCAGACTCCTAGCAACCATATTTTGCAGTGTAATGTGGCCCCAGAGGCTTCAGCCGGTTTGTCTGTCCTGACGCACCGCAGCTTTTGTCCTGAGAAGTGCGTATCACACCCTGCTACCTTAGGCTCTAGACTCAAAAGAAGAGTGGTAGAAAGCCAGTCCTGGTACAGGAATGAAAAACAGACCAACCACAACTTTAAATCCGTTTATTGACACAGTAACACAACACACTTGCCTCCCTGACACCCCCACCCCCCTCTCACCCAATCTAGATCTCTTCCCCTTCCAACCCCCTTAGAACAAGCTGTTCAGTGAAAACAGAAAAGGGCAGGCCACTTCTACACCCTCATTCCCACCCCTAAGCCTTATGGGGCAGGGGCTCAGGCCCTACTTGGAACCTGTTGAGAGAGAGGAGGGGCAGTCGGCAGTCAGCACTATACTCAGCCAGGCAGAGGCATCCAGTCCCTAAGAACAGATTCCCACACGACCCCCAGGCCCTGAGTTGCTATTCCTCTTCCTCTCTGCTCTTTGTGACCCTGGGAAGGAGACACCCTGGGGCCTGGGCCTGCAGCCAGGAACAAGAGCTGGCTGTGATTTGAAAACTGGGAGTTTGGCTAGTGTTTTTAAGGCCCAGGCACCCCAAAGAAAGCCCTGGTGGTGGGAGTGAACTTCAGTGCCCCCATTTAAAATGCGCTGATAACATGAAACAGATTAAGCCAGCTTAACCAAATGCCAGAAAAACACTAAGCTGTAAAGAAGGAGGGATCAGACCTGGTTTCTCCAGGCCAGACACAAATGCACACAGAGGAGCCCAGGTGGAGTGTCGAAAAACAAGGACACCGTCCAGGGGCCAAAAAGCCTATACTCAGGAGTGTCTGGGTTGAGAGGAAGCAAGGAAAGAAAATACACAAGTCTTAAAAAACAAAAAAGAAAGCCCAACAGCAGGGGAACCTAAGCCTGACAGTGCTGCCCACCAGCCCTCCAGGCCCTGCCCCTAGACCCAGACAGTCCCTCCCCCTCTAGGCAATGTCCTCCCCTAGGCTAGATAGAGCACATCACACAGCGCAGTTTAAAAAGCTTCTAATGCCAGTTCATAAACATCTTCATTTACTATTGGTGATTACATGTGAATAATATGTTTATACTGTTCTTTATGGAAAACAATTTCAACGAGTCAACTCCGAGAACACAATAGGCAACCCTCACCCTGAGCCCCTCAGCGTCCTTCCCTAGATAGCAAGGAGCCCCCTCCTCTGTCCCAGGGCTGCCCAACTTCCCCTCTTTCCCCACTGTGGCTCTTGGGCAAAGCATCCTCTATGACCATTAGTCCTCATCAGACAAGTTATGGTCCAGGGGGTAAACCATGAACATCACATCTGGCCGAGAGGGAACACAGGGATGGCCTGGACGCACAATCTCAAAGCCCAAGAAGCTGAAGGTCTTCAGGAGTGGAGCTGCAGAGAGTGTAAAAAGGATTCTGATAAGAAACACAAGGGCAGGTTCAAATCAAGGGAAAACAAAAAATAAAGATTGAATAAGTAAGTACTACACCTTTACTAAAGACCCTTCAGGCACTCCCACCCCTATGACTTCCCAGGGTTTATATGGCAAACTCAAGAGCCCTACTTCACTGAATAGGGGGCTCCTTTTCCCCTCACTACTTCCCCACTGTCTGGGCAGTAGGTTTCAGGCTACTTTGATTCCTCACCTCTGTCTTCCCGGCCCTTCCTGAAGCAGATGAAGACGTAGTTCACTTTCATCTTCTCTTCAGCAAACTCTAGCAGTGCTAACAATCTGCCAGAAGCAAAGAAAACCACTCAGGCCCATTACCACCTCTCTAGACTTCCCTCCCACCCTCCGTCAAAAAAGCCTTCTCTGAGGCTTACAGCCAGCAGTATTAATAGGGAACCTCCAGGGAGAAGCTTCCCATTTCAAGAGCTCTGAGTTCAGAAAAAAGCCACGATCCCAAAGAAAAATGTTACTGAGCTCTCTCTTCCTGGAATAAGGGTTCTTCATCTGAAATTAATATGAACCAGCTCCACTAATGCAGTTCACAACATCATATGGGGCCTGAGAAGAGAACGTGGTTCTTCAGGGGTCTTCCAAAATTGCCCAGTTTGATGACCACAGCCACTGGCACAGACTCTGGGCCCGGACACTGCCTTAAAGGATTTCCTCAGAAGGGGCAACTCAAGAGAACTCTGCTGCCTTGAAGGGCCTTGCCCAATCCAATGAAATCCCACTGTAGCTCAGAGCTTCCTGCCCTTCTGAACCGCATCATTGTATGGCAGCTCAAGGGGAATTTAATGTCTGCTGAGAAGAGTGAACCATGGCTTGACTAAATGACAAGGATTTGGTTAATGTGATATGATCTCCTTTAATTATAACCTATGGCAGGCCTGTTTTACTGGCTAAAAACAAACGGTCACAAATTGGTATCTGCTTGGGAAACCTAGAGCTAGGGAAGAAGGCAGACACTGTTCATCTGTTGGCCCCAACAAGCATATGCCCTTCTCTGGAATGGGCCCTCCTTCCCCTTCCCCAGCACCTGCTCCTTACCCTTCTTTGCTCCCATCAGCTAATAATCCATCTGGGATTTCTACAAACAGGCTCTGGCTGGACAGGACTGCATCCCAGGAAGAGACTTTCACCTCGGTGACCTCATACTGGAAGTGGACAATGTGAGGTTTTCCATCATTCACAGGGAGGTCCTGGGTCACAGTGAGCTTCTCGTCCTGGGAAGAGATCAGGTCAGAGGACCAGGTCACTACTACTCTGGCCACATCACAGGCTCCCTAACCTAGGTGATCCTGGGAGTCCTCTGGGGCCAGTCTCAGGGCAGTATGGGACAAAGGACACACTGAAAATGTAGAGCCGCATGCTGGCTAAATGAAGCCATCCGTCACTCATCAGGCACAAAGACAAGCTGATGATAACTACAAGTCAGCATGATGGGAAGGGAAATATTTACCAAGTGTCCACTAGATGCCAAGTACTGAGCAAGGTACTTTCCCACTTTTCAGTCACCACCAGAAGCATCTGAGGTAGTTACTAATACCCCCATTTTAAGTCTGAGGCAGTAGGGGCCCAGAACAATTAAGCAACTGTCCAAAGGCTCTGTAGTTAGTAAATGGCAGAGCTGAGATTCAAACCAGGTCTCCCTGACTCTAAAACCATGTGTGTCCCCCAACACCAAATTCTTTCCCTTCTCTCTCTGAGAGAGCAGCATTAGAAACAAATGAGGATGTATGTGAGGGCTTGGCTAGGGCCCAGCTCAACCAAAGCCTGCTTCCAGGCTAGACTACAGGTCCATGTTGTCTGTCTCCCCTGGGCACAACCTCAAGAGACCAAACCTCAGCCACCCGGCCACCCTTGGGTGGTACCCTGCTCCCCAATCTTGGGGAGAAGCTAAGCCAACTTCTGGGCCTCACAGGAGATTAAAGGGCATCAAACGACTGGCTGCCCCAGCCCAGATCATTCCTAGGGCAGATGGCTAGCATTCTCTAAAGCTCCTGGGATGTAGCCTATGCTGCCTGGATGACAGATGATGGAGATGCAAAGCCCCTTCTCCTGTCCCGCACCCCCACTACACTACCCAGCCTGCCCCCAACCGGGCCATTAAGGGATGGAAATCCGAATGTCTAAAAGTCATGGAAAACTGCTCCTCCTGGCCCTTGGTATTTCTCAAGAGAAAATGAAGAGTCACACCAAAAAGTGTTCTTGCAACCCTCCCATTCATCATTCTCCTTCCCACTCAGGACCCTGAACCAGCACTGAAGTGCTGACCACCAAGCTAAGAAGATGGCAGCGTTTGCTTAATGCTGATCTCCTGTTCCCAGTACTCCTCAAAAGCCACAGAGCAGCCTCAGTTGAAAGAGTCCTTCCCGATTCCCCTACTGGCCTGGCCCAAGAGAAGATCAAGAAGGCAATTATTGCCCTTAAGCGGCTGCTGAGTGGACCCTCAGCTCTACTCCAGGGCTTCCACCCCACAGTCCTCCTTACCTTATATATTAGAGCTGAGAGAGAAGGATCCCTGCCGCCCCCTCGCCCACCGGGGATCTTCGACAGTGGGTGAGGGGCATCAGGAGCACCACAGAGGCCCCGGAACAATGTGCCTGCAGCACTGGAGCTGGGGACAGTTACTCAAAGGCAAAATACTACTGCAAAAGACAGAAGGTGAGACAGTAAACACCAAGACTTAAAAATTTCACACACACACACACACACACACACACACACAAAATTTAACAACACCGCACTCCAACCTCTGCCCTGGCTCTCCCAAAACAAACACTCTAAAGCTACACCACTGCCCGCCCATCCTTTCGGCTTCAGCTTCCAGACCTACTTCGGTGCCCTTCAAGCACACCCACCACCCTGCAGAGAGCAGAGGGAGTCCAGCTGGACACGTCTGACCAGAGCAGCATCTGCTCGACCTCAAACAAATCTCTGTGACACTGGCAAACCCTGAGAGGAACCAAATCCTGGCTTGCCGTCAAGGCTTTAGCACCCTGTCCCCTAGTCCCCTCCTTATTCTAACGGTACTTCAACAAACTATGCGGCAATCTCAAAACCTACACAGTCACTCCCAGCTGGAGAGGCATATGGGCCTCAAGAGATCACATGGGCTGGGTACCATGTCCCTGAGGAACTCCCAAGGCCATTTTTCCAATCATGGCTTCCTCCCCAATCTAAAGACCTAGACAAGAAATCCATAACCCAAATCTCTCCAGGGTCAAGAACTGAATTAAATCCTGGGATTTGGCTCTCAGAGAAGAGATACACTATGGAACAGAGTATTATGGTCTGAGTTTGTCCCTGGTATGCCAGCATATGTCAGGCTTCCTTGCCCTTCTTTGCTAGAATCTGACCTGGGCACAGGAGTTTAGGTAGTACTGATGTGCTGAGAATAGACATCAGGGGCAGGTGTATCAGGGGGAAGGAATATTTGCTGGGAACTAAATAAGGAAGCCAATAATCAGATGGATTACAGAAGGTGAAAAGCTCCTAAAGGAGCTCCCTGTCACCTCCAGGTGTGTGCCCTTACTGCCACCATGATTTTTAGGTGGACCCAACAGGGCTCCAAATCTGCTCCACTGCCGCCTCTGAATCTGACTGAGCTGTTCACTAGGCTGAGCTGTAGGCCGCCTCAGAGACCAACAGCAAGTGAAGCAGGGAAAGAAGTAGGCGGTCTGTGCATGTATACCACGAGTCAGCAACAGGCCTGTCCCATGACCCCAACACCCCAGCCTCCAGGCAGCTGGAATGCAATGGATAACATATGGAAGGACAGTGCAGGGACGTGCTAGAGCCCGCTCCCACGACTCTGCCCTTATCTTCCCAACTGTGTGTTTAATGTCACATCGGTAGCTTATATGGGCCATAGGAGAAATATTTACACCACAGAAATGAGCAAAGGACATAAATCATGGCTTTTTTTTTTTTCCCTGAGAGGTAGCTGTAATACAACACAAGGCACCATTCTTCACACTCTTTATGTGGCATGTCGTGCCAGGCTCGAGTTCTTCACTTGGGCTCAGAGTGATAAAACTGAACTCACACTTAACATGGCAATTGTACAATAACCAAAGGGGCATCCAGCTAAGATCCTCAGTACTAAGATACCTGTGTCAGCGTTCCAGCTGAGACAGAAGTCCAAACCCATCACTGCTCTATCTCGGATCCTCTTTCTCTCAAGGATTTCAACCAGGGGCCTGAAATTACACTTAGAAATTTCATTGCAGGGTGCCTGGGTCGCTCAGTCAGTTAAGCGTCTGATTCTTGATTTCACCTTAGGTCATGATCTCAGGATCCTGAGCTCAAGCCCCACATCAGGTTCCATACTCAGCAGAGAGTCTGCCAAGACTCTCTCCCTCTACCCCTTCCCCAGCTCACGCTCATGCATGCACACACACACACACACACACACACACACACTCTCAAATAAATAAGTCCTTTAAAAAAAAAAAAAAGAAAGAAAGAAAGAAATTTCATTGGGAGATGAGAGTTTCCAGGGCAGCGTCAGAGGGCCTGGCTGCGCACAGCATCGATACCGGCGGCAATACACACGCACCACCTTCTGCCTCCTCTGGAAAGCCTCAGGCCATCCTCATCTCCCCCACTCTAGCCTCACCAACACAAATCAGCAAAAGGGGCATGACTGAGGACTACGTTGTTTTCATTTTCAAGGAGGGACTTATTTGCTACTAGGGACAATAAACTATTATCATCCCCGTGTTCTAATGTGTTAAGGGACAGAATAATAGTGGCCGGGCCAGAAAAAATTAAGTAAAAGAGGGATTTCCCTAAGCAAAGGTATATACTCCCCCCACAGACAGTGTAGTTCTGTTTCCATTCCCTAGTGAGCACTTTGGGCCTCTGTTGAGGTTCTTGCAGAAACACAGGAAGGCTGGGCCACTGAAGAAAGCTGGCTTGCAATGTATTAGTCAGTGGAGCTACCCAAGAACTGGGCAGACTTCTCCTCTGGGGAAGACAGATGAAATATAGCCTTGTATACCAAACTGCATGGGTTCCCAAAACAACCAGATCCCCAGGCTCCTGCAGTTCTAGAATTCTGGTGCTAACCTCAGACTCCTACTTCCAAGGAAATTATTCCTCCCTGGTCTTTGGATGAGAGAGCTACATTTAACCTGATGGGCATTCCAATCACCATCTTCATTCTGAGCTAATTTTTCCTTGCAAATAGCAAGCAATGAGGCCAAACTACTGGAAAGATAAGAGTAAGGTGGGTTTTGTTATTTTGTTTGTTTGTTTTTTGTTGTTTTGTTTTTAGATCCAGAATCCCCTTTGTCTTCCTAGAAATAATCTCTAGGGCCTGCCCTGTGTCCAGTACTAACTCATGTGCTCTCTCCTCTAGAAGTAAATTTAAGAAGTCTATTCCATGGTAACAAATCATTTGCTTTCCCACTCTTATTCACAAGGATCCTGGAAATTCCTCCTCCTCCCCAACAAAGTCTGCACAAGAGCAAGTGCATGACTGAGGCTGGAGGGTGTTTTGGGTCCCCACCCTGGGATCCACTTCCAGGTCCCTAAGCTAGGGTTTAGGATAAACTTAGTAGACTGGAGATCACAATCAACAATTATCTTCATCGTCCATCATAATGGATCTGCTTTTCATTATTTGCTGTGAATGGCAATTGCTTCTCTTTAAAAAAACCTGTCATTTCTGAAGTGGGCACAAACCGGGTGGTTAATGAAATTAAGGGGTATAAACAGTAATCAGGCAAGAAAAATAAATACAAGGCACCTTGTCACTATTTGTAGATGACATGCTACTATATACAGAAAACCTCAACAGCTCCACCAAAAACTTCTAATAAATCAATTTAAGAAGGTTGTAGGATACAAAATCAATTTACAGAAATCTGTTGCACTTATATACACTAATAAACTACTAGAAAAAGAAATTAAGAAAACAATCCCATTTACAATTCCATTAAAAAAGAGAAAGAGAACACAGAGGACTACACTGAACCAAGGAAGTAAAAAAAAAAAAAAAACAACAAAAAAACCCACAAAAAAACATGTACTCTGAAAACTGTAAGACATTGATGAAAGAAACTGAAGATACAAATGCAAATATATACCATGACATGAACTGGAAGAATACTGTTATGTCCATACTACCCAAAGCAATCTAAAGACTCGGTGCAATCCCTACCAAAACACCAATGGCATTTTTCACAAAACGAGAACAAAGAATTCTAAAGTTTGTATGGTGCCACAAAAGACCCCAAATAGCCAAAGCAATCTTGAGAAACAACAACAAAGCTAAAGGTATCACACTCTCAGATTTTAACTGACTGAGCAACCCAGGTGTCCCTACAGATTTTAAAATATACTACAAAGTTATAGTATTCTCAACAGTACAGTATTGGCACAGACATATAGATCAATGGAATATAACAGAGAGCCCAGAAATAAACCCATACACCTATGTTCCATTAATCTATGACAAAGGAGGCAAGGAGGCAAGCATATAAAATGGAGAAAGACAGCTGCATGAAAAGACTGGACAGCTATATCCAAAGGAATAAAACTGAACCACTTTCTCATGCCATACACAAAACCAAATTCAAGATTAAAGACTTAAATGTATGGCGCCTGGGTGACTCAGTGGGTTAAGCCTCGCCCTTTGTTCGGCTTGGATCATGATCTCAGGGTCCTGGGATCAAGTCCTGCATCAGGCTCTCTGCTCATCTCTCTCTGCCTACTTGTGATCTCTGTCAAATAAATAAATAAAAATCTTTAAAAAAAATTTTTTAAAGACTTAAATGTAAAACCTGAAACCATAAGACACCTAGAAAACATAGCAGTAAGCACTTCATCAGTCTTAGCACTTTTTTTTTTTTTAAGTCTTTCTCCTTAGGCAAGGAAAACAAAACCAAAAACAAACAAATGGGGCCATCAGAACTAAAAAGCTTATAAAGGAAACTGAATAAAAAGGCAACCAAATGAACGGAAGAAGATATCTGCAAATGATATATCCAATAAGGGATTAATATCCACAATACATAAAGAACTCATACAAGGGTGCCTGGCTGGCTCAGTCGACAGACCATGCAACTCTTGATCTCAGGGTCATTCAGTTTAAGCCCCACGGTGGGTGCAGAGATTAATTAAAACAAACAAACAAACAAACAAAAACACTAAAAAACAAAAAATGAACAACTCATACAACTCAGTATCAAAAAACAATTTGATTAAAAAATGGGCACCTGGGTGGCTCAGTTGGTTGAGCATCGGACTCCTGATTTCAGCTCAGGTCATCATCTCAGGGTCCTAGGATCAAGCCCTGCCCGCACTGGGCTCTGCACTCAGCAGCAAGTCTACTTGAGGATTTCTCTCCCTTTCCCTCTGCTCCCACCCCCTTTCATGCTCTCTAAAATAAATAAATCAATCTTTAAAAAAAAAATGGGCAGAGGATCTCAACAGACATTTGTCATATATGTCAGAGAAGACATATAAATAGCCTACAGGCATGTGAAAAGATGCTCAACATCAATCATCAAGGAAATGCAAATCAAAACCACAGCGGTACATCACCTCATACCTGTCACAATGGTTAGTATCAAAATGACAAGAAATAACAAGTGTTGGTGGCTCAGTCGGTTGAGCAGCCAACTCTTGATTTCGGCTC